CCACAGTTTGAATCTGTGAGAAGGGAGCTTATAAAGGCATACAAAAAGTTGCTTTCATCAAGCTGCTGGCTAGCAAAGTCCACATTGCAGCAGCTACACTATAATCTGGGACTGGCCATTTACAGTGACACAAAATGGGAATATTGGGGGGGGGAGAGAGGTTGGAAAATGCACCTTCTTTCCTTTCAAAAGGAGCAATATCCAGTGATAAACACCGGCAGCTTCAGGCTTCCTGTATTGATCCACTCCGACATAACACCCACGAGATTGCCAGGGACTGTCGTTTTTTTGTGCTCTTGTAAATCTTGTTTTTTCTTTTTGTTTGAAGGGCACGTAGCATTTAGCACTCCGTTTGGTTTAGAACAACCCCTTTTGTTCCCTTGCCTTGGGTGGAAAACAGGTGCAAGAGTGCAAGAAATTGCAGGCATTTGTTTGCTATGGGAACTCTGTGCTAAGCCTGAATGTGAAAAATCCCCATTTTCTGCTAGTCTGTGTTCTATATTGGACAAAACACTAAAAGGAAAACAAAAAAGGTATGAAATAGTTTCCACGGGGTTCTTTGATAACCCTTCCCTCTCCAACTGCTTCAACCGCCAGTAGTCATCCTGCGCTCAGTGGGCTGCCATACAAGGAGACATTCAGGGGTCATTTCTGCAGTCATAAGCACCCGTTTGTCCACTCATCGAGGCCTATAAGGAGTTGTTTGAGTTTTATCCACGGACAGTCCGGGAGGGCTCGGGTTTTTCTATGTGAATATGTAGCACTTGTAAGTTCTATGGGGCTATTTGCAGACTGTTGATGAATCTTGCGAACACAATTTCACAAAACAAATCTCTTCTTATTTGCATTCATAGAACAGACAACATGAACAGTTATAACAACAACAAAATGCTACGATTTGTATGCCCAAGTTCTTGGTAATAACACCACTAGAGAAGCTGCTTATAGAATTTGAAAAGTTAACATCTCCTTTTGATTTCAAATTCAGACAAAAAATCCAGACTGGTTTGGCAAGCCATAAAACAGAAGAATCTTCAAAACCCTAAGATAAAATATCAATATAACTGTATACAATTCATGAATACAACTGTATTCAATTCATGATTTTTCCCTCCAGCACAAGCATATGAAAATTATATCTAAACCAAATTGGCAAGAGCCTTAATAATCCAACTGGCAACAGCAACTCCAATCTCTTCAGCTCTCCCACTCTTTATGAGATTCAAACCTCTTACTCACAGCCGTTCTCTTTCTTAGTTCCATCCCTTTAGGCTGAACCAATATTTCACCGGGATTATAAATGGATGCATGGCTGTAACTGCAGATGAGTCAAGAATAGGCTGCTCATATGCAAAGGATGCAGATTATGTGGCCAAATCCTAGCTGTGCATCTCATGATTTTTCAAAGTAGCAGCTTATATTTCACACATAAAATTCAATGTCATTATAGAAGCGAATGTATTTACTAGCGAAATAAATAACACTCACTAGATTGTTCGGACGCATTCATTTGAACTATTTCAGCCTCAATAAGGTAACTTCAGACTCCATGATATTCCTTGATTCCAGCTGAGAGTGGATCAAGGGACCGTTTTTTTTCATCAAATGTTCTGTAATCTGCGCAGATTATCTGGGCACAAAGTTAGAATCCTGTTTCTTTGAGAACCAACCCACATACTCAGCAAGAACAGAACAACCACTGATTGATGAAAAAGGAGGCAAACAAACCTTTCAGCATTTCTAATCCTTTAAAATCCATGAGACTAAGCCACCTGCAACATTTAGTGCACTTCGTATTATTTGTGCTTTGTATAATCTGCACAATTTTGTTTCATTTGTACGGGGAAACGAATTATTGCATTCTTCTGTTGTGAGTGTTAGGAAATACAACCAGTCTCTCTTTAATGCTAGGCCTCATTGGGGGAGCTTGCTCTGAACCTGCTAGTATCTTTCACAAGAAATTGAGTTTGGAGGAAGAAATGATGAGAAGGGACAGTATGATACATCAGTATATTAGATTACAGTGTTAGTTGTTCCATTCAGTGCATCAATACAATTGCTGTATGCTTTGATGTGTGTTGATAAAAGTTTGTCCAAAAAGATGAGTAATGATATATTTGCAGTTTATTGCCCTCAAGTGAGGCAAGCACATATAGACATCTCGAATATTTAAATTCTCTTTTACTGCCCAGTGTTATTATTGGCTATCAAATCACTTCTGGCTCTTAAGAATTTTTTACGGTACTTGCGATGTTCAAGGAGCGGTTTATCATTGTCTCCACGACCACCCTGATAAATTTCCATGCCCCAACAGAGATTTGATTCCAGGCCTGACATTCTATCTGATACATCATATCAGCTCTCATTGTAATTGATAACATCCACTAAATGTTGTCCCTTTCAGAATTTTCTTTTAAGTGACAACAGCTGTCTCCAGAATGAAGAGACAGCTTCCCAAACAGTTATGCTTTTTATTGATGTGCATATTAAAGCAAATGGACGTTGTTTTGCCCTAAATGGATTATTTTAGAATACTCCCATTTTAGCCTCTATTTTTTCCTCAGGTTCCTTGCAAAGGCACTTTGCAAACCAGCCACTTATATTTTTTTTTAGCCTACCAAGGTATTCTCTTTGCAATTTACATCTTAAGTGCTTCCAATAGCAAAATAATCAGATTTTTCTGAGGAAAGGTCTCTAATGCAGGCTGGAGAAAATGGGATACAACACTACAGGTAGATGGGAAATCCATCAGCTTTTGACTTGTAATTTACCCAGTGTGTGCCTCCTGGCTCCAAATAGAAATGCAAAGATGATTGGAAATCTGAAATCTGGATTTCTGATGCACTCACAAAAGGAGAAACTACCTAAGGAAAAATATCAGATTTGAAAGTGCATGGAAAAATGTAGAAATAAAAAGCATGCTTAAACATGGTTTGTTCAATAAAAATGTACACAGAAGTACAGTGGTGCCCCTCAAGACGATGATAATCCATTCCATTGAAATCGCTGTTTAGCGAAAACATTGTCTTGCGAAAAGCGTTTCCCCATTGGAATGCATTGAAATCCGTTTAATGTGTTCCAATGGGGAAAATAGTCGTCATTTTGCGAAAATCACCCATACGTAAGCCATTTTGCAAGGTGCCAATCAGCTGTAAAAATTGCTGTCTTGCGAAGCATCGGTCCCGAAAACACCTGTTTTGCAAAGATTGCCCATAGGGAAGCCATTTTGCAGAGCCGCCCATCAGCTGTAAAAATCGTCTTGCGAAGCATTGGTCCCGGGGGAAAAAACGTCTTGCGAAACACAGACCAAAACATTGTCCAGCAAAAACACCCATAGGAAACACTGTTTTGCGAAGCGCAATGGCGATCGCAAAACCTCATCGTCATGCGGATTCGTCGTTTTGCGGTGTAATCGTCTTGCGAGGTACCACTGTATTGATGCTTGGAAGTAACCCTTTACGAGTAATTTTAGTTTCAAGTAACTAGTTACTTTTTGAGTCATAAGTAGTGCAACTAATAGTCATACTGTTACTCTTCTGGAATAACCTTTCAGTTAAGTGTAAAAAGTAACAGCTAGTTACTTTCAAAAGAGGGCATTTTGTGGAATTCTTTGGATGTTTTGCTTTGAACAATTCCTGTTTTTACAGTTCTCTTATTAATCCTAAGTGACAAGCAAAATAACCTTTGTTTCAGTCTTTTATAAATATCTCCATGGTCCAAATATCAGAACTGCCACAAGAGGGAACGCGACAGTGTTTCTCTGTAGTCTCCTACCCCACATGCTGGAAATGACAAACAATCTGCACAAACGTTGGCCGGAGCAATAATCATGATAGCAGGGACCTGGAGGCCAAGGAACAAGGAAAAGGTGCAAGTGGCTTTTAAAATGAGAAGAACGTGCTAAAGGGGGCAGATCTGATGGGGCCTGAGTTGGAATGAGCTTGGTGGTGTGAAAAATAGAACTCCAACAAGGTCCAGAGGCATGATCATGCAACACTGATTCAGTGGTTGCCTTTCTCAAACTCAATGCCCTTTTATAATTGCCAAGTAATGTGAGACTCCCCTGCCACATTTGCAGAAAAAGGCCATTGTCACCATTCTCAACACGGCAGCGCCACTGATGATGCTGTGCTCGCCCTCCTACTTCTCCTGCTGCCGATTCCACCACCACCACCATTTCATAATTGGGAAGGGGGAAGTGACAGGTTAGAGAGAAGAGAAGGCAAAGAACTTCAAAGATGGGCCCTCTCATCTATTGGGTAAAGAGGGGCTCCATTCATCATGAATGTGCCGATCGTCAAGCTAAGGCTGAAGGGGAAAGAGCTGGTAGCTGCTACTAATTTAACGCAATACACCAAGAACTTTCCCCTTCAGCTATTCATAGGGACTGGGTAGGAAATGAGCTTCACCGTGGCAGGAAATAGGATGTGCTGAAGAGAAGGAGGTGGGAAAAATTCAGTTAAAGCTTAAGAATTGATTAAAACTGAGGGCTGGGCTAAAACCAATCAGTCGGGCTGTGTGTGTGTGTCAATGTGGGTGTGTGAGTTCCCATACATGTCTTCCCCATTATCCTCCTGCTACTATTTTCCTTAAATTAAATCGTTCAGGTAATTGCAGCAAAAGGTGCCTGCATTAACTATAAAATGTTTCTCTTGCAGCCACTAGGAAAGAAACAGCCACATCCTCTCGGGAGACAACACGCTTTATCATGAGCTGAGCAAAGATTGCAAGTAGAATCAACCAGTTGCTGCTGTCGGCCAATTCAGCACTCCTCCTCAAGATAGTGAAAGAGAAGCGAAGGAAGGAAGCAAGGAAGGAAGGAGCCAATAACAGCCCTTTTGCAGTAATCTTTGTTTCAGTTAGCACAATTTTACCAGAGAGAGCTATTATGTTCCTTTGCCTCAGCCCAAACTACAGCCGTGCCCCAATATCTTCTGCATTCTGTGAGAATCTCACCTTAATGTTCCCCTTGTGGTAATTTGAGCTTGCTTACGGCTCACCATTGTTGCCATAGACTGCAATTCATTGTGGGTGACCACTTTCAAGAAATCTTCATGGAGCTGAAATCCTATGAGGAAAAAAGAGAGAGAGATTGCACCACATGCATGGCAAACACACACAAGATGGGCTTCGACACCCAAAGGTTTGTGAAAAATTTAAAAAAACTAGTTCGTCTGGTGGGTGCTACATGATTATTTCTGCTATAATTTGCTGCATGTATGGTGGTTTTAAAGATGTACCATTCTTCATCAGTTTCCAAATGGCATTAGAGTTTGCTTATCCAGGATGAAAGCATTTCTATATCTCTGCTTCATAGTCTACATGATGCACAGCCTTTGACCATGTGTCTCATGAGAAGTTATGAGTTGGTTGAATAGAAATGGGTGTGGGTCAGCCTTTGATTGCCCTGACATGTAACCTGTATTGTAGGCAAGGAGCTATAGTTCGGATAGATTATGGAGAGGCAGAATTGTTTCTTATAGGCAAAGGAGTCAGACAACGGTGCATTTTATCTTCCTAATTGTTAGATGTGAATGCAGAACATATACAGAAAGCTGGAGTAGATTCAGAAAGCGGAGGCATGAAAATTGGTCGAAGAAACATCAGAAATTTAAGATATGCAGATGCCACTATCTTTCTAGCAGAAACCTGCAATGACTTGAAATGACTGTTAGGGAAAAAGAAAGAAGGAAGTTTTTTTAAATACTCCCCAAAAATAACCCGACAGTGTTTTCAGGTGTCTGTAATCACTTTCAACTGAGAATGAATGGCTTCTATTGAACATGATGAAGATGAAAGAAGTGGCTAGCCAATGCTCAATATTTTGGACATTCCAAGGCATTATGAGTCTTCTAGTTTTGTGGACCTGGTAGATTCCCTATATGGAGCATAAAAGGCAGGGAGACTACCAGACCCATAATGCCTTTAAATTCATATAGAACCTGGCTTCACCAAGCCACTTCCTCCATCTACTTCATGTCTGAGAGAAGCCATTACTTCTCAACTGAAAGTGATTACAGACCTCTGAAAGGACTAGGGAGGTGGCTAAAGCCCCCCACAAGTCTGACTGGGTTGTAGTCCAGGACTTCTGAAAATCCTATGCCGAATTTTGGGCATCTCAACAGGCCAGACAAAATGGCTTCTGCCGTTCCAGGAGGAAAGAGAAGGCCAAGGAGAGAGTTCTAGAATTGTACTGGCAGGTGGGAGTAGCAGAGGATGCAAAAATCACCAGAATCTATTATATCTGTTGTCCACCCCTGAAGTCCAAATCTTGAGTGGAAAAGAAAATGCCCATCCATTTCCATTCTTTGCTTCATTCCTCAAGGATGATTTCCAGCACCAGTTCTTACCACATCTTAGAAGTAACTAGTTAGAAACGATATAGTTTCCTGTATCTAGTTACTTTGGATAATGTGTAATGTAACACATAATTACTAAGTTACCTTTTAGATGTAATGAATAACACCTAAGTTACTTAAATGTAAGAGTAAAAGCCCTTTAAGAAAAGGCATTGCAAAGTCTTTTAGAGGCATTTTGCCAGGAAGTTTCCAGATTTGTCATTCTCTTATCAGTCCTAAGTGGCAAGGGAAAATTTATTTGGTTTTTCTTTTGTTTATAAATATTTCGAAGTTGCAATATCAGAGTCGGCCACTAGATGGCAGGTACTGTATTTTTCTGATCCGCCAGTGATAGTAATGCACCACATTGAAAATGTGCAATGCAATAAATTGTTCAGTGGTTGGAGCAATGATAACCACGGTGATAAGTAGGCTGTCAAAAAAGTAAAGGATAATACAACGCCGTACAATGCTTATCACAATATGTTTCTTTCAAAACTTAATACTCCAAGGGATGGCTCTTCCCTGACCTTGTTGCATGTCTTCTTCCAGCTTTTACCATTTCTTGTTTCTCTTTCTGTGAGTTGCCATGAGGATCTGTTACTCAGAACAAACTCTCATTTCTATTGCTTTCTCCCACTTCTGAGAAAGCACTTATGAGCTCAAGAAGGGTATACATTTCGCGTTCTCACCACTCAAGAGTCTCAGAGACTCACTGCTCCTGCTGAAAGGAACAAAGGCCATGAAACCAGCTTACGTAGAGACAATCTCCCAAGCTTGAAGGACTGCAACTAGATATTATTCATGTGGCCTACTAGAGCCTCTTCCATTAACCTTGAGTTGGGGGTTAAGGTATCTGCCCTCTCCAGTTCTCCTCTCCCAGAAGATAATATTTAACAACAGAGCTTGGAAAAGTAACTTTTCCAGCAGCATGCAGCATAAAGAAGTCAAGGATTGCTGGTGCAATGAAGAAGCTCATTCAAGCACTGCTTATCAACTCCTTGTCTATGGCACGAGGGCATCTTGTTGGGCCACTGGGGTTACTAGCTGTTCATAGAATTGTCTTCCAATGTTCTCCTCCTTGGCAAGCAGACTATTGACTAAATGTGATTTGTTGTGTTAGGCTACAAACTCAAAACCTACAAGAAGCTACGACAGCAGCCCTTGACCTGGCATTTGCTCCCACAAAATGCCTGAGCAAGAGGTATGTCTATTTTTAATCTATCACCTTGTAGTATAGATTCCCAGTATCTTGTACTGGATTATTGTCAGTTCCCAGTGTGTTGTGCTGTGTAGAGTGATGGACTAGGACTCTTGAGAACTGGGTTTGAATCCCTGCTCAGCCATGGACACTCACTGGGGGAGTAGAACTGGTAAAGGTAAAGGTTCCCCTTGACAAATTGTCCAGTCGTGTCCGACTTGAGGGTGCGGTGCTCATCCCCATTTCCAAGCTGCAGAGCCAGTGTTTGTCTGTAGACAGTTTCCGCGGTCACGTGGCCAGTGCGACTAGACACGGAACGCCATTACCTTCCCACCGAGGTGGTCCCTATTTATCTACTCACATTTTTACACGCTTTCGAACTGCTAGGTTGGCAGGAGCTGGGACAAGCGACGGGAGCTCCCTCCGTCGCATGGATTCGAACTGCTGATCTTACGACCTTTCCGGTTTAACCCACAGCGCCACCACGTCCCACAGAACTGGTAAAACCACTCCTCAAATATCTCACTTACCTTGGAAACCCTATTAGGGTCACTATAAGTCAGTTCCGACTTGATGGCATATGGCATTTATAAACAACTGCATCGGTGCAGAACCGAACATAGTACTGAAGGAAGGATCCAAATTTCACAAAGATCTTTTGAATGCACCCATTATTTTAGAACATAGGTGGTTTGTGACTGGGTTGGAGGCAGCTCTGTGAGACTTGGTTTTAAAGGAAAATCTAAACAAAACATCAGGTAAGTTTCCATCCATTCAAAGCAGAAAGAAACATGCTAAATCACAGTAATAACAATCTTTGGTATCTGAGCCATATTTAGGGTGGGGGGCAGGAAAATGTGTCTCAGTAGCCCATGACTGAAGAATAGCTAACTCCATACAATAAATTCAACCATGCTTTATCCTATTCAGCTTTTCAGCTTCACAATAGCTGAAACAGCAGAGTAAACTTATTTCCTAGGCTTGCTGTCTATTTCCATGTCGTGATGATATATTTTCCCCTCTCTATGATTATAAAAAAAGGATATAGCCATCAGAAAATGTGCAAAAATGGTAATCTAAAAATATAACAAAGAAAAAGTGGTTTATCACTTTGCTATCAAAACCAAAAGAGCATTTTCACCCTTTCGCCTTGCATCTCGGATAAAGCTTCTCCGGTAATAACCGCAGAGCTGTAACGACCTAAAAACAAGATTGCTTTTACTAGGGGAAATAGCTGGAATCCAAGAAGATTAGGGATGATTATTATTCTCAGGGTGCAAAATTATGTTCTTTTCTGGAACGGATCCCAGGCCGGAGTATGCCTAATGGCGAGAAGGCAGTTAGTGCCTGAAAGGTTTTGCAGCATGATATCACAGGAAACACAGAACGGCGTTCTAAACAACAGTGTTACGTTACCAAGAAAGGCAGTCCTGTGAAACTGGTGCACAAAGACTTCCATTTAGGGGTTGGGGTTAAAGCATTCTGGGCTTACATTACTATCTGGCATGCTTCAGCCATATACCCAAGGCATGGCTTTAGCCACCTTTTTTTGAGAATTTTGTTAATGTATTCTCAGGACATAAGCAGAGTTACGAGATATCAGGTTGCAAAGACACTATAATAGTGAGAGAGTAAAATTCAACTTAGTCTATTTACAAATATATAGAGAGAGCATAGACTTTCAACTGGCAGCATAACATGACATGATACAATACATAGCATAGAAATAAGTGATCTGACTTACAACCGATAAGATGTCCCCTTTACACATGCCTTTTATACATTCTTGGGACCAATCATGAAATACATTACTTCATTTCACATTTGCATAAGGTTCCATCGTTTTCTCCAGCTGTACATCAAGTCTTAAACTTTGGTACCCACCTGAATCCACTTAGTACATGACTCAGGTTAAAATCAGCCATTTTACTTTTTACTATACAAAGAAAGCTGACCGCCGAAGAATTGATGCTTTTGAATTGTGGTGCTGGAGGAGACTCTTGAGAGTCCACTGGATTGCAAGGAGAACAAACCTGTCCATTTTGAAGGAAATCAACTCTGAGGGCTCACTGGAAGGACAGATCCTGAAGCTGAGGCTCCAATACTTTGGCCACCTCCTGAGAAGAGAAGACTCCCTGGAAAAGACCCTGATGGTGGGAAAGTGAGAAGACAAGAGGAGAAGGGGATGACGGAGGAGGCGATGGTTGGACAGTATCATCGAAGCGACCGACATGAATTTGACCCAACTCCAGGAGGCAGTGGAAGACAGGAGGCCCTGGCATGCTCTAGTCCATGGGGCCACAAAGAGTTGGACATGACTAAACGACTAAATAACAACAATACAACAGTTATATTTAATACATATTCAGATCAAAATCTCAACAACCTCTTCATTTCCCTTGACTTAGCATGGGCCCTGGGTATTGCCACATGCTGTACACACATGTCTTAAAATCTATAAGAGTCCCATTTCATTACAGCAGGAATTCATGCACCTGTGACCATAAACGAGAGCTCACAGTCCTCATATACATTGTTTGTTACAGACACATTATTTATTTATTTCTATCCATCTGTTTTGTTGACTGGATTTCTATACTGCCCAGTTAGTGACAAATAGAGACAGGCAAGAACCAGCCATTCGGCGCAGTTCATTTATCAGCCACACAGCTGATTCGCGGTTCAGCACTCCTCCCCCTCCATCAGGCCTCCACTCAGGAGGCAGCATTCTGGTGTCCCTGATGGAGAGATGGATTGGCCATTTCCTGGCTGAAGCCATTACCCTCAAGGCTCACTGGAATGGCTTTGATGGTCCTCCTGCTACATTTCAGCATTCCTCATATTTTCTACCCATCCTGTTGATGCTGTGTGCTGAGTCAAATTCCCAAGATCTTAGCCTCTGCAGCTGAAAACAGGTCTGCAATAGGAATCTAGATCTCCTTTACATATTTTCATTTGCAGTTGGGCCATGCATTTCCCCCCACACACACACACTTAAAAGCTGGTTGTTTACCAGTTTGTTCTCTATTGGTGCTCTTCGGGTTCCCTGGAGCATCATTTCATGACAATCGCTGTACCATGTCAGTGGGTGCAAGCAGTTTCAGGGAGTGCTCAGATATTTAAGAAGGAAGTTAATTAATGATCTGATATTGGGGCTGTGGTGGGGGCGAGGGCAGGTGTCCCCACTCTGTGCAAATAACCCGAAGGAGACAAATTCAAGTGAAAGGGCAGAGACAAAAGCACATTGACCTTTTTCTGTTTGCAGAATGCTCCCCTTCTGAGATTTGAGAAAAGCATCAAAGAAATGAGAAAATGTTTAACCAGCTCAGCCAAAGCACCACTGAAAGTAAATGTTAACTCCCCAGAGCTGTTAAGCACACAAAGTGATGAAATTCACCCAAGCTGGTAAGAGGCTTGAAAGGAAAGGAAATTCTTTCAACAATCTGTCATGCCTGGTAATCGCTTTTAACACACTCATTGTTACAATATAATTAACTTTAGGACAGCTTCATTAAGTAGTTCAAGTACAGGACCTGGAAACATACAGTACAAATGTCATAATCCCAACCAATGTAGCCATGCCCTACGCCAGTGATTCCCAACCTTGAGTCCTCAGATGTTCTTGCCCTAAAATTCTGGGCAGCACAGCTAGTGGTGAAGGCTTCTGGAAGTTGCAGTCCAAGACTATCTGGGGACCCAAGGTTGGGAACCACTGGCCTATACTAGCTGAGGAATTCTGGGAGTTTGGACCAAGGAAGTCACTGTTCAGGGTTCTGGCCAAGACTGGCTAAATCTGAAAAGAATTCTGAATCTGGTTTTCTGCAGGCAGGCTTGACTCTTGAGCACCTTTTCATCCTTGCTACAGTTCTCCTAAAAAGAACAAAAACCTGATCCCACAGCTAAAAATACTCAACTATCCCACACACTACACCAGAGCACAGACAGAGTTCTGACTCCTGTCCTCTGAAGATGCCGGCCACAGAGACTGGCAAAACGTTAGGAAGAAAAACCTCCAGAACACGGCCAAACAGCCCAAAAACCCTTCAGCAACCATCGGATCCTGACCATGAAAGCCTTTGAAAACGCACAATGAATCCTTCGTTTTTAAAAAGATGGTTACCAAAGAGGTCTTTGTCCTCTCCAGGTTGCTCATTCTGCACCAACAGAGGTGGTCATTTCTGCTCACACCTTCAAAGAGAGCAACCACTTTTCCTGCACACCAATACCCACAATGCATCGGGTCTCTTCCCAAAAGGTCCACGGACAAATGGGGAAAGAAAGCAGGAGGGCTCAAAGGCTGGGACAGAAAATTGTTCCTGTTGGTAAAGGATCCTGGCAATGACAGCTATTCCAAGGGTTCACCATCTGGTTCATCAGCCTCTCCTTCCCCCTAAAATCCAGAAGTGGCTAGAATTACAATTTTTGGTTTGTAGAAACTCAGAGAACAGGACAGAAAAATGGTGGAAGAGCGTGCCTTTTTAAAAGACTGAATTATTGCTACTAGAGGTTTCCAGGAGAGCAAAATTATTTGTTTGTGTGTGGTTTTTTTTCTCCATCGGAGAAGGGCTTGCATGTCTAGGAGGAACCAGAGTTGAAATACAGCAAGTGGCTTCACAGGCACAACTGCACCCTAGTTGTGCAATCGCACAAGCAGACTGCCTGGGTGTCACTCTCCATGGGCATCATCTGACATAACACTACGCCGTGGGCAATAGGATTCCAGCCAGAGAATTGTATATCCGCAAAATTGTACACAGAAATAGATTTGCTGGTCAGAAAGGTGTAGTGAGGCGTTTAATTTTTTGTTGTTCTTGTCGCTGAAACAGAAAAACCTGTCTGTCTTGATAATTCCCACATGCATTATTTGAAAGTAAGGAAACGTAGTAACTTCTGAGCGGTGGGAAGTGGGTGATCCCAAATGGCATCATTGATTTGTGAGTCGTGATGTATTCTGCAAAAATACTGTTCAAACTGTGCTGTACTCTGAGACTATGAAGGCTATTTTTTCTATTGAAAAGTTTTCCAAAGCTTTAAAAGAGGAAGCAGCAACTTCACAGAAAATCTTACTCACAGGCCTTTGCTTTTTCATTTCCCTCTCCCCCCCCCCGCACGCCCAATTACCCAAGTGGAAAGCTATTTTTTAAAAAAAGAAAAGAAATGACTTGGGAGAGGAGAGGTTTCGTGGAGAAAGATGAATGCTGATCTAGTCATGTTTCCCCCCTCCCCAATCTTAACAATAATGTCTGCAGGTGGGGAAAAAAGCCTTTCTCCCATAATGAGAAATGTTCTAGCCTCCGGAGGCAGAGGACAAAAAGCTGGACCAATTTGAATCAATCTTGTGCATCACAGAATCATAGAATATTGAGGTTGGAAGTGGTCTAAAAAGCCATCAAATCCAGCCTCTCCTCAATGCAGGAATATAAATCAAAGGATATCTGCCAAGTGGTTGTCTAAATCATGGTTTTTTAAATGTCTTGAATACAGTGGTGCCTTGCAAGACAATGTTAATTTGTTCCGCAAAAATCGCTGTCTTGCGAAAACATCGTCTTGAGAAACATGTTCCCCATTGGAATGCACTGAAATCTATTTAATGTGTTCCAATGGGGGGGGGGACCGTCTTGCGAAGCATCGGGCTAAAAAAACCGTCTTGAGAAACGCGGGCCCCCATTGGAATGCACTGAAATCTATTTAATGTGTTCCAATGGGGGGGGGGACCGTCTTGCGAAGCATCGGGCTAAAAAAACCGTCTTGAGAAACGCGGGCCCCCATTGGAATGCACTGAAATCTATTTAATGTGTTCCAATGGGGGGGGGGACCGTCTTGCGAAGCATCGGGCTAAAAAAACCGTCTTGAGAAACGCGGGCCCCCATTGGAATGCACTGAAATCTATTTAATGCGTTCCAGTGGTGGGGGGGAAACTGTCTTGCGAAGCACAGATCCAAACATTGTCTAGCGAAAATCGCCCATAGGAAATACTGTTTTGTGAAGCGCAACAGCGATCGCAAAAAAACATCGTCTTGCAGATTAATAGTCCCATGAGGCAATCGTCTTGCGAGGCACCACTGTACCTCCAGTGCTGGAGTGCTCACCACCTACTGAGGTCCTTGGTTCCATTGTCGTACTGCTCTAACAGTTAGGAAGTTTTCCCTGATATTCATGCAGACTCTAAAGGGAAAAAAAATGGTTTCACCCATTTTATAAGCAGAGCAAATCTCATGGTAATTGACCAGGTAGTCACTCTCCAAGTGAAGACCCCAAGAATAACACAGTCAGAACCAAGCAGCCACAGAACACTGAAGTTTATGGTGGGGAAACATTTTCGCATGTGGCCATTCTCAGCATGCCTGATTGGCTCTAGTCTATTTTTAATGAGCCATTTTATGTTTTTTTCCTCTGAAGCTGGAGCTACCTGATGCAGGATTGCAAATGAGGTGAGAGAGAAATTTGAATAAATCAGTTGGAAACAGACTGTTCGTATCCATGACACAATTATAACTGTGTAAAAAACCATATGTTGTGGAACAAGCCAAGATTCACTGGAAAAGAGCAGAGTTCAATGAAGGATGTGATTACATGAGAGGGGAACTGGAGCACAATGAAACATTGCCAGTTCCCAGGAAATTTGTGACATTACACAAATACATCATATCCTTGGGCAAATATTCCTCTATCAGTTTGGGGCAGATGGTTGGATCAGCATAATAGCACAGGTGCTCTGCGCTGGCTCGATATGACTGGGGAGGGTCAGAATAGAACAAGTGTAGAGTTAAATGTTATGCTCTAAAGACATCCGTTCAACTAGAAAGCATCAATATTATACATTCAAAGGAGCCCAGCTTCAGATGTCAGCAAATATCATATGACTAAGAATGGGATGTGGTAGCGCTGTGGGTTAAACTGCAGAAGCCTCTGTGCTACAGGGTCAGAAGACCAGCCGTCGTAAGATCGAATCCACACAACAGAGTGAGCTCCCGTCACTTGTCCCAGCTCCCGCCAACCTAGCCGTTCGAAAGCATGTAAATGCAAGTAGATAAATAGGGACCACCTCGGTGGGAAGGTAACGGCGTTCCGTGTCTAGTCACGCTGGCCACGTGACCACGGAGGATTGTCTGTGGACAAATGCTGGCTCTATGATTTGGAAATGGAGATGAGCACTGCCACCTAGAGTCGGACACGACTGGACTAAATGTCAAGGGGCACCTTTACCTAAGGATGTAACTCTAGAGTGTTCTGGAGCAGAAGACGAAACATCTCCCCCTGCCAAAATGGCATCCTCACTATGAAATAGCAGGGCTTATGTTATGGGGTGGTGGTGCTTTGGAAGAGAATATCCAAATTTTAAAATTTTAGACCGACCGACCGACCGACCGACCGACCGACCGCCCGACCGACCGACCTACCTACCTACCTACCTACCTACTTACCTACCTACCTACCTACCTACCTACCTTCCTTCCTTCCTTCCTTCCTTCCTTCCTTCCTTCCTTCCTTCCTTCCTTCCTTCCTTCCAGCACATTTCTGTAAAATGCAGCATGATGGAAAAATCCTACTGGCATTGCCTTGTTGCATGAACTAGTTAAAGTAGTCCTGCTGTGTGTTTGTGATCCATCAGCTCTCTTTCTCCTGTGGGTGTACATGCATGCTTAGCTTTAAGGGAAAAAAGGCACCACCACAAAAATGACAGAAAACTGGATAGTGTGTTCTGTTGGTGCTGGAGGTGAAATCTCCCACAAGGGTTAACATTCTCTCAAAGCCTGCATCAGACAAAATCCTGGCAATGAGGAAGCCATTTCACAATCCTTCCAGGGGTGTGGCAAATACTCAGAAGTTTTCTAGCAAATGTTGAAGTCTTGACTTACGAAGATTCCTTCCTAAGACCTTCATCCATGCCAGTGGGGATTCACCATTTCCCATGAAAATGGGATTCTGATTCCATTTTTCTCATACTTTTGTGTGTTGTTGTTGTTGTTGTTGTTGTTGTTGTTGTTGTTGTTGTTGTTGTTTTTCACATATTTCTTTGTGCAAAAGTTGGCAAATTCTGCAGAACTCAATGCAGTTTTGCAATGGTCATGCTACATAGGTTGAAG